ATACATTTTCTCAGTTTAAACATTTGATATGTCATCTATGTTGTATTCTGAATAAAATATTGAAATTTGAAACTTCCACATCATTGCATTCTGTTTTTATTCACAATTTGTACAGTCACAACTTTTTTTTGGAATCGGGTTTGTACTTTTGAACTTTGTTCCTGAGCATTATAACCCCAATTTGCTATTGTGTGCTGAGCATTTTACTGAGGACAGCTTCCACATCACAAGTGAGAAGTGCCGGATTCCCAAAAGCTTTTTTTGAAAGATGGAGCAAGGGGGTGTGGCAGTACTGAAACACCGTCTAAGCTGTTTGCCAATCACAATGCACTGGGACAGCTAACCAATCACAACCCATTTTGTTTTTCGGAAGGCAGACCTTCATCAAAGCCAGAACTAATCGAGCCGTTTGTGCCAGGCTGGGGAGAAAGGTATTTTAATAATGTAAATTATGTGAAAAATAATGCGGTTTTTCGAACCACCAAGCATGAGAGCATGTTCTAGTACACCCCCAAAACAAAATCAAGACTTGATGTGCTAAAAGAGCATAATATGGACCCCTTTAATGTCAAATATGCAGACAATACGGCAATTGTTGGTTTGATCTCTGAAGATGAAGTGGAGTATCGTAGAGGTGTGGATAAGTTTGTTGATGGGTGTCAATCTAGTTTCCTTCAGTTAAATATCAGGAAAACTAAAGAAATTATTTTTGACTTCAGAACAAGAAGAGGCACTCATCAACACATAACTGTTAATGGTGAGGGCATTGAAGTTGTAAATGAATATAAATATCTAGGGACAATCATTGATGTAAAACTGACATGGGATGTAAATACAGCAGCTGTTTACAAGAAAGGGCTGCAGCGATTGTATTTCATGCGTAAGCTTCGACAGTTTGGTGTGGATACATACAGTATATGTTGGCTCTATTCTATCATTCATTTGTGGAGAGTATCTTGACTTTCAGCTTTGTTGCTTGGTATTTCTCACTGTCTGTAGTAAATAAGAACAAACTAAATAAAACTGTTAACATGGCTAGTAAGATTGCAGGTAAACAACAGCATAGTCTGATAAAACTATGAATCTCGAGCTGTGAGGAAAAGCCATACAATTCTTCACGATGCATCTCATCCTCTTTGTGGTGAATATGAGTTATTACCATCTGGTCGAAGGTACAGGGTACCATTATTACGGACGGCCCGTGCACAAAGATCTTTTATATCATCCAGTATAGCTCTGTTAAATACATTTTTGTGATATCACAGTTGTCATTTTACATCTATGGCAGTGATTCTGTTGTTGTGAGAGGGATGCTGTTTGATGCTGGTTGTATTTATTTGTGATGTGTTGTAACCTGTTGATGTTTGTATTGTTAATTATTGTTGTTGATCAATGAAGAGTTGCCACAGATACAAAAATAATTTCCGAAAGGACAATAAACTAAACTTACTAACATACATGTTTGTTAAGAGCGTTAGGAATGCTGCTGATTCTGATTATTCTGCAGATGTGAATATGTGATGGTAAATGAATGAAAGCAGGAAAAAGTTCATGACCTGAGATAAGAAATACCAGGAATTGGATTAGAACTGAAACAAGCAAAGAAGTTTCTGATTGAACCTTTAATGATGATTTAAAGGGGTCATATGATGCGATTTCTATCTTTCCTTTTCTTTAGTGTGTTATGTAGCTATTTGTGCATGTATAAGATCTACAGAGTTAAAAAGCTCAAAGTCTCCCACAAAAGGATTTATTCTATCTAAAAGAGAAGGCTGATCCAGAGAGGGCTAAAATGCCTCGTTCAAACACGCCCCCACATGTCTACGTCACGATGTGGAAATATTTGCTAATGCCGCCCAAATGTTCACGCAAAGAAAGAAGGCATGGTTTCAGGAACAGCAGTAGTGTTGATGCAGTATGTCAGCGAGACGCTGTGTGTTTCTGTGCGAAAGCAAAAGCACTTTATTTGGTCTTCCGAAAGTAGATGCAATGAGGAATCATTGGTTAAGATTTATTTACAACAGAACAGCACAACCCAGATGTTCGAATTTGTGCAACGCATTTTGTGGACGACAGTTTTGTGAACCTAGTAGAGTAGCCTACAAGGCTGACTGTGCACAAAGGCTATTTCTAAAAAATAAAAATGGGTCAATTCTGACTTTGCTATGACAATCTGGCACGTATTCAGAATCAGCTACTGTAAGTAAGTTTTCTTATTAGTTTAAGTATTTGCTATTGACTGTTCAAATGCGGAGTTTTGCGTCGTGTAGAGTATCGCGTCCTGTGTGTGTGCGCGTGAGAGAGAGACAGGAGGATCACATCACAGTGGAGTCATTCAGTTTACTTAATCGCGGCTTGTGTACTGCAAATACATATGAGCATCATCACTGTGTCTGTCACGCGACTCTGTTCCCCTGATGGTAAAACTAGGGACATTATTTACTGTCTTTACATTTATGTTGAAAGTTGAAGAAGAAGCTTGTGATTATGGAAAGGGGCGTTACATTTCCGACGCGTGCTTGTGGTGTTCGGCCAATCACAATGCACTGGGTCAGCTGGCCAATCAGAGCAGACTGCGCTTGTCGGAAGGAGGGGCTTTGTAGAAAACGACGCATTTGAGAGAGGTGGGGCATAGAGGAACTACAATAATGTACAGTATTTGAAAAATAATGTGTTTTTTGAACATTAAAGCATGTCAACATATTCTGTTACACCAAATACACCAAATAATAATCTTTAAAATAGCATCATATGGCCCCTTTAAAACACATTCACAGTGGGAGAGGGAACAATATCAAGGCTGACGTGAAAACGTTGGCTTCTATACAGACACTAGATTACATTGATTAAAGAACATATAAAATGTTGAGGATTTGGCGAACACACCACAAAAAGAACAGCATTCAGTTTGTAAGAATTTAATGCACAAAAAAGTACAAAGATGTCTATACTTCATTATTCAATTTACATGAGTTTGATTAGTCATAACCATAAAATTAGAAATAGTATTGATTAACAATATTCTGGCAAGTTACATGTGGCCAGATCAGATTTTTTTCCCACATTCTACAGTTGTTTTTGTAAACACTGGTTGTCATAGTAATAAAACAAACTCAGGTTCACCAAGTGTGAGATTTCCATTTACATATTATTACATTCATGCATTTGGTAGACACTTATATCCAAAGCAAATCACATTGCATTCAAAGGTATACATTTGATCAGTGCCAGCTTTCCCTGGAAATAGAACCCATGACCTTGGTGTTGCTAGCACCATGCTACAGGAATTACTTTAGCAGTACATATTTTGTAACAGAGTTGGATATGATAAAAAAAATTGAATATTTGGCTGCTGCATTTAATTCAGTGTTTCATCAGCTTTTCAAAAAGTACATATCAAATGTTCAAGCTCAATTCATTCCACCTTCCTCTTTTTGATTGACTTCCTGCAACACAAAAGCTTGCAGACATATACTGAGGTCAAAAGAGCAATCACAGTGAACGTCAGTAGAAAAGCCAACACATCTAGACTATGATAAGAGTACCAAGGCAAGTTATTCCCCTCTGGGCGAAGGTGAGCTGCTCCTTTGTGTCTAATAACGTACTCAATCCAAAAAGTGGCACTTTCAAGAGGAGTCAAGGGTTGATCGCGGTGCAGCTCTGACAGTTTGCGGACACTGCTTCGGTACAGCGGGTTCTCGAGGACATCTTTGAGGGCTTCGAGAAATTCTTGTGATGTAAGTGTTGCGACTTGAAGAACTCGAGCCGCACCTCGAACCTGCAGTCGCAGAACATTGTCAAACTGGTCAAAGAGGAGCGGCAAAGCTAAGACGGGGACTCCATGGTAAACCGCTTCGTACATACCATTGGTGCCCCCATGAGATACAAACGCACGCATCTTTGGATGGCCCAGTAGATCATTCTGAGGAAACCACTTTAGAAGTAAAGTGTTGTTTCCCAGAGTTGAGGGTCGTTCCCCGTGGTACCGCCACAAGACTTTCTGAGGGATCTCAGCAAAGGCTGTAGCAATGGCCTCTGTGATCGCTGTAGGAAGAGCGCCGACTACTGTTCCCAAGGACATGATGACAACTCCATGCTCCCCGGAGCTCTGCATAAACTCTTCCAGCTCTGCAGGAAGTGCTTGAGCCGGCTGACATTGAAAGCCACCCATGTAGACCACGTTAGGCATGGAGGGCCGTGGAAACTCAAAAACAAAGTCCATTCTCATCAACCAAATGTCAGCTGATTGCTGCATTGACAAAAGATCAGTGCCGGGCGGGAAATGGCGCTCAAGCAGTTCACTGTAAATAGGCACGATGATGCATCGCTCCTGGAAAAGGCTAAACAGATACCGTAGGAAATTTTCTGTACGCTGTAGGAAGTTCATTTGGTCATGGAGCAATGAATTGTACATTGGGACATAGGACGGCGGTGAGGGTGCAATTTGCATGTGAGCATCCCCTGCATTCAGCCAACGTACATTGTAAACCATGGGGAGGTGGAGGAATTTGGCTAACAGGACACCGGCTGGGAACGCAGGATCTGTTAGCAGCAGGTCAAACTTAGCTTCTCGCAAGCGTTTGACAAGCGCTGCATCGTCCAAAATGGCAGAAATCATTTGAAGTGCTCCATTGTGAAATACCTTTAGCACACTGGCGATATCTTTCTGCTGTTCCAAGAAACGGAAGAAAGGCGACATCCTTTGTAGCTCCAGTGACCTCTGTATCAACATCTTGAAGTAGTCCGCGCCCACATCTTCGGTCTCCATTGGGTTGACAATGATGGTGCTGTAGAGGGAAGAATTCTCTTGGATATACCAACTTTTAGACGAACGCACCACGGTAAGGCTATGACTGTGGCTGTGGAGTTTCCTCAAAATGACTTTCATGTTCACCCAGTGGCTACAATCCTCAGGCCACACCAGGACATTTCCACCATGACAGCAGCAAATCACAAAGAGCAGGCAAGTGAGTGAGAATAGCTGTTTGTACTTCATCTTTCAGAAAGCTGAAAAAACTAAAAAGGAGAGCACAACAAAGATGTTTACAATATTACATCAGGGCATTTTATTCCAAAATAAATACATGGACAATTCACATATACAAAAGACATGGTTATGATAGCACATAATTGTATTTTTTTTTGTATTTTATTAAATCCTAATAATATTCTAATTTGTTTTACATAAAAAAATACATTATATAAAATAAAATAAAAACAGTATGAATCCACATTTATCAGCTACATAAACAGTAAGAGCTTACTGGAACAGTTGAACATTTAATTTGACCATATAAATATAACATTTTAAAATATCTTAATGTTTACCAATAAGCATTTCTGACAGCACATTAAAAGAAAAAAAAGCTAATTTCAAATCAGAATGAGTGGATTTTTGTTTTTGTGTTTGGATCACTACCTGCTTGTAGATAATAATCCATTTGTGAGCTGGAACAAATGATACCGGATACTCTGTGCAGTGTGTCAATCTCCAGATCTGGCTCTGGAGTTCTTAAGTGTTCAGTACATTATATCTGTCAAGTCCTTACTGTGTTAGGAACTTGTCCTTTTCTCTTTCTTTCCTAAATCCCACATCCCCTCCATCTCCTCCCATTGGATTTCTCTTTTCATCTATCTGTCCTGTCACTAAGGATTTGCAGCACAAACATCCACATTCAGCAGAACAGATGGCCTCAAACACCCTATTAATCCTTAACAAAAACAAAAAAAAACCCACACACCTTCAGGAGGCTTTTTAACAAGCTATATCGTGCCATGTGCCCATAGATGAAGGAATTAACTTTTTTTTTTAATCTGTTTATTGAACTTTTACAATAATAATAGTAGGATACAGATACAGGAGAATCATGAAAAAATATTGATTTATTAAAATGTTATATTATTAAATATTGATTTAATAAAAAATATTTTTTTTTATTAAAAAATAAAATAAAATAAAAAAACTCAATACATATTGTAAAACAAAGAACGTCAAGCCTATGTCTTGAGTATAGAATATATGAGTATATAAAATATGTCTTGAGTATAGAATATATGTTGGAGCATTGAAGTTTAGACATTTCAACCATTTATCAAATGTATGCATATACCTCCACAAACAAAACCTTACAGCTTTAAAGTATATACATATACATACGTAAGTATCCACACATATAAGCACACACTCCTAACCAGATTCAGGCCACGATCATATTAACTTCTTAATGCTTAGGTTTACACACTCTAAGAAGAAGTACTGACATATCAGAAAAAAAAATAATGAAGGGATCCCAGATCTCAGAAAATATACCAGTGTTGCCCTTTAACGTATACCTAATTTTTTCCAAATGAATGAAGCTCATGACCGGAATGAACATTTTAAACATTATGATAACACATGAAATCATCCAAATTTTTTTTAGCCCATTAGTATCTATTCATCTTTGTTTAAGGCATTAGCAGTATATGTGGTGAACTAAAACATTCAGGAAGTTTTACTCTACCTTTTGTATGACTGTTGATGCTCCGGCTGTCTGGTGCAAACACTGCCAAAACAAGCTTTGGATTTCCAAACTTTACACTGATGCCTGTGTGATTATACCACACTGTACACGCTAAAACAGGCAAAAGACTACCTTCGTCAAACCCGCTTCACGTACTTTGTAACCTGAGATCTAAAGTGGCCTGTGGTCAAATCTTTGGATCAGCTTTCAATCAGAGAGAAGAATACGAAACGTCTTCATTGATTCTCAGTTGTCCCTAATTTGAGTCAATGTGAAGTTTTAGGTTCGGTACTGAATCACGAGGCAAAACTGAGGCACAGCAAAAGAAAGTGTCAAAGGAGGGCTATCAACATTCAGCTCACACAAGGCTTTGTTTGCCAGAAAACAGTTCGGATTGGTTACTCTTACAGTGAACTGCACGTATTCATTCATTTACAGACATTCTAAAGGTCGCTATTCTGTTCGCAGTTTGTACTTCACATTAATTTCATGCATTTATTACATTAAATTCATTTTATTTAATGTGATTTTTCTTGAATATTTGGCAGCAATACAATCTTGCAGTACTGATTTGGAAATCTGGATCATCTACAACCAAAAACAATCTTCTAATCGTGCAATCTCTGGTTGTTGTTGTTGTTTTTTTTTGCAAAGATCCCCTAAAGCAGGGGTGTCAAACTCAATTCCTGGAGGGCCACAACCCTGCAGAGCTTAGCTCCAACCCTAATTAAACACACCTGATCCAGTTAATCAGGTCCTTCAGGCTTATTTGAAAACTACATGGTATGTGTGTTGGAGCAGGATTGGAACTAAACTCTGCAGGGCTGCGGACCTCCAGGAGTTTGACACCCCTGCCCTAAAGAAACTTACAGAGAAAAAAATACAACTAAACAGAACTTGCTATAACATTTAATAAAATAATTGTTACCACATCCAGACTATGGTAGCCTCCAGGAAGTGGCTGGGCAGTTCATTTTTTACATATTTAACATTTTACATAGGGACTTGCAATACCAATGCATGGTGGTTGCGTAATGATAACAAAACATCTCTATTTTTCTCATTGTGCACTGAATCCATGTTGTCTCATTCTGCTATTAAACATTCTATTAAACACTAAAGCAATTATGAAACACTAATCAGTTCCTTAAACACCACAAGTGTAACAAAGTATTAACATTGTTTTAGCCATTCTTTTATGTGACATATTCATGTAAAAACATATTGTCCCGAGAACATTCAATCTTTAAAATCTGTCTTTATATACATACAAACCCGATTCCCAAAAAGTTGGGACACTGTACAAATTGTGAATAAAAACAGAATGCAATGATGTGGAAGTTTGAACATAATCAGTGAGTTTATTTTCAGCAAAATTAGGCTACAGGAAAAATATGATGGCGCTGAAATGTCACTTGAGTGGTCAGATTTAGGATGAACTAGATGAATACAAAACCACTACAGAAACCACTCATATTCATTTAATTAGACTGTGCTCTTCAGCAGCCATCAATCTCCAGCAGCGCCTCGACTAAAGAAATCCTATTTTGCACGAATTGTGAACATGAGTTTACATCTGAATTTAATGTGAGATAAAAACACCGTGTTCAGCAAAATAATGACAAGAACACACGTCTTTGTATCTTGAACTGCATGCAAACAAAACAACACGAACAAGTGATTCTGATCCTTTTCGGACATTCACAAATATTCACAAACTCACAAGTTATCAGTTTGAAAAATCTGACGGACCCTTCGCTGAATGAACTCACAGAATTCAAAGTGAATTAAAATATTCACTTTGTATTCACAAGATATTATGTTCAGCAATGTGTGTACGTAACTTCAGTTTGACTGTGCGTAGTTTAACATACTATAATACTGTATACGATTTCTATTAACTGAAAGCATAAATCTTGGTTATCCGATGCCGTTTTCAAAGCACAATGCAAAACTGTGGCCTTTTATTCACTGACGCTCTTCAATCAGCAGTGTAGGATATCAGACCGAATCAGACAATCTAAGATTTGGTCAAAACATGGTTGAAACGAGGAGTCCAAATTCCACAGAGGCCCAAGACAACAGGATGTCATAAATCAGACCCTAGCCAGTCTGAAGCAAGCCTAACCAACTCTTTCACAGAACAGCTTTCAACATTAAAACAAAAGAACACTTATTGACAATTCCAAGGAGATTGTCAATTTTGGTCAAAAGAGATGCATAGCGTGACCATCACATGGAAACATGTGATAGTGATCACAAGCTCTTCGGATTGACTTCCCCCCCCCCCCACTTAGGAGACAGAACAGACTGAAATTCCTTACAGACATTTTAACCTCTCTGGTCTTCACAGAACGCATCCTTACGTCCACAGAATGCCAAAGAAACTGCATTTCCATGTAGATTTACATCTAAATTACACTAAAAGGACTTGTTGTGAGCAACTAATCATTGCTATGCAGTCTCAGTGATCAGCCGTAAAACGGTGATTCTGTCCAAATTCCCTTGCATATTAATGGTGGAGTTCCCTTTAAAATCTTAAATGATTCCCTTTGAGCTAAATTGACCTGTTTCCCTTACAGCAGTGCCAAAATAAAAGCTTGCTGATTTTATAATTAAAATTCATAAAAAAATTACATTTTATCATTGTATTTTTAAGCCAACTATAAAATAATTGTATTTTTATTTCATACTCCCTTTTTATTTTAAAATATAATAGTATTATCACACTTTATTATTTTGTTTATTATTGTATTAAAAAAACCCCGAAATAAATAAAGTGATACTAATTTTAATATCAGCATTATTAACTTATTTTTTATAGTTATATTTAATGGGTTACACATGTGCAGTTTGAGGCAAGTTCTGCAGTCTGGCTTGTTTGGAGTCAAATTTCATTTATATACATTTGTTGTTTTTAAATATATAAAACAATTTTTTGGATGAATTTGTCTGTCTTTTATCAGATTTATCAATTGTTGTCATTTTTATTTGTGCTGGTCAATTATGAACAATAGGTCAAATTGAACTGCTTGCAAAAACTTGGGAGAATTGGGTGTGGCCAAGGGGCCAGGCTCCTCCCCTAACAGATGTAATCTCACTCCAACCTTTTGATATAACTTGAGAGCCCTGGAGATTCATATACCATAGTATATAAAAAGGATACCATGTCCAAATCACAATGGTATTGATAGGATATATGTCCAAAACCCAATGAGAGACCCATGGAACTTTTTGGTACTTTTTTGTGCAACACATACCTGTATGCCATATCGATTTCTCACAGAAGCCCGCAGTGCCATAGATACCGGAGGGGTGCAGGCACAATTGTCAATCATGGGCAGACAGCAAAACTCCCCAAAATCTGATGCTGTGGAACAAATAAAGCAGAAGGGGCACCATATGGCGAAGCAGCCTGGAGAGAAGCAAATACAAATACAGATCAATTATTTAATGAATCACAGCTTGCGACAAACCAAAACATAATAAACAAGACAAGTCACTTCAAACTCACAGACACTGCAGTCATCAAAGCATCCAAAGATTCCAGTGCTCCACTGGTTTGAGCTCACTGCTATCACAGGACTGAACTGAGGCTGCTGAAATATCATGTTTGCTGCTATACAGTCGCTGCAGGGTGAATGCAGAAAATAGGTCATATTTAAATACATTGGAATATGCTATCAATATATTTTTAGGTGGTCCCAAATGATGAAATATTATTTTGCCTGTCTATGATGAACAAACTTAGAATTAAGAACTGATGAGTTATTGATAGAGCATTAATATGAACTCACCTCATTCCCCTCACACATAGAACTGTCCTCTGTATTATGGTTTCGCAATTCAAAAAGAAAGAAGTCAAGCTTTATTTGAATACAAGGAACACAATTTCCTTATTACATATATTTTTTGCATATAGGTTCCTCTCAGGATCTGAAAGATAATAATGCTATACAGGAAAAGGTCATATTGTTATTTTAAAGTAGCTGGAGCTTGACAGTCATAAGCCTCATTCATTTTCATTGAAGAAATTCATATGTTTGGACTGACATGTTTTTGAATTCTCAGTTTTCATTAAACTATTTCTGTGGATGTTGCAATGTAAAGATGACTCTAGATGAGTTTCAGGCTGTGAATTAATGTTGATTCCATGTTTACATAAGCAAACATTCTATATTATCTTCCCATATCTAAAAGACAAAAACATTCATGAATTTTTTTTTGTAATAATGTCCACACCTTTTTCTGATAAAGTAAATATCAGCTTTGATTCCAGCAGTCTCATATCTGATCTTGCTTAGCGAACCGTGTGAGTTATGACCGCCACTGCATAGTGTGCCCACAATGGAAAACCCACAATGATTTTGTCCTTGGCCCTATATTTCGGACTAATATCAGTTCATTAGTTAGTATTGCTCGGTCCCTCACTACTCATATGGTTGTTTTTATTTTGTGAGCTTTTTTAGTCCCAGTTTCTGTTCATATTTTGGAAGAGTGGAAATGGCAGCCTAAGGGTTGAGTAAGTTTCATTTTGTAACCATGTGGGAAAAAAAACATGTAACAATGTTAAACCATGAAATGCAAATGCATATGTTTTTGATCAGCTTTATTGAGTGTCCCAACATATTTTTTGTATTTTCTACATTCAATCATTTACAGGCCGGCAAAAACACACTTCTGCAAAACATCTTTTAGTAACATCAAACCTCCAGTGTCACATATCAATGGCTCAATATAACAACTTTCTAACGACAGTGAAAATCATATTATGCATAATATTTTAAATATAAGATACAGAATGTGAAGTACATTCAAAAATAAAACGCTGTCTCTAAAAACTAAAGCAGATTAAAACAATCTATTATAAAATTTGTTAAAAATAAAACAAAATAGTGACACTAAACATGTTGCAACATTAAAATCCCAAATCTGAGTATTTCTTAGGAGAATCCATTCTTCAGAACTCTTCACACCCTGGATTAAAGCTGTACACCATCAATATGCAAAACACATTCCACTACAGTGCCATGCCGAAGGGCTGATCTCAGGTCAGTGTGTGTGTGGGAGGAAGATCAAGAACTGCGATTATAACCGCAGAACAAGCAAGTCTTGTTGTAAGTGATCCGAAAAGGACAAAGTGTGCTTCAGAGAATGTACTGTGAAAATAATAATGAAGGTGTGGAAGATGACGGCGAACTTTAGGTAGGCCTGTTGTTAAACAGAGTGATAGGATGGAGTCTTGCCTTCATCTCCCGTCTGATCTGACACCATGAGCACGGTCCGCAGAAGAAAGAGTACACACAGTCATTGCAGATAGAGTCCTGAATGAGGAAAAGAGGAAATGTTAAA